TTTCATTAAAATAAGTTATAAATTCATTATAATAATTGATAAAAAGTTAGAAAATTTCAAAATCATATTTTTAATAGAGAGAAAAAGAAGAATATTAATTTAAAGGATGAAAATAATAAAAAAATGATCGTCCACTTTTAATAAATGCTAAGATAAATGCAAGAATTTGCGATTCGAGAGAACTCACTTAGCGGGAGAAATTCTATATATTAAAATGCAATCAAATGCGCATCAAATGTTTTTTTCGTGCGAAATCCTTTTTCATTAACGTCTTGTAGAAGTAGTTACGTGCCGACAGATAGCCAATACGATTATCTGTCATGAAATGTAAAAGTAGTTAAAATGTGCCCTTGCTCTTCGTCCGTTATCTTAAGGAAAACCTCGAGCATTTCACTTGAGGGCGTGTCCAATAATTTTGATATTAAGGTTTTTTTTTTAAATTTGTGCAAATTCTTGTGAATGTTCTTTTCAGATGCGACTGTGTTTCTTAAATCTCGCACACCTTCTGGTGATCGTTGCCGCCTTTGATATAGCTGTCGGAAGCCCTTTGCCGTTCATGTTGCTGACGAATGCATCATACACACGGACAAATGTTGATCAATCCGGCATGAACAGACTGAAAGCCGATATTAAGCCGGTGAAAAAGGTATATCATCGGTCTTGAACGAATGAGCTTAAATTTTTACTTTGTTTAAGTTTTCACCATTTCTCTTTCTCATTTCGTCAACCGGCCTTTCGACTCCATCTGCAATTTTGCGAAACCGTCAAGCCGGATTCTCTTTCAGCTTTCACATCTAATTCCTCTTTCTCTTTCTAAAAATTTTTGAAACTTTCGTTCTAGAGTGGTTTCACGTCGACATGGAGCAGGATTTTGCAGAATCCGCCGGATTCTTTGGAAGTTGCCGTCGGGTAAATTTATACGTTTCGACATAAAGTTAACGACTCTAGTGTACACATACACAGAAAAGTAATATGATCGCATTCCACACTTGTTCGTTTAGGAGTCGCGTCGAGCTGCAATGCGAGGTAGCTGGAAATCCGCCGCCCCAAGTATATTGGATAACAGGAAACGAGCCGGAAAGACAGGTTGGTCACGTTATATTAACGTCACTAACGTTTATATTTGAAAATTATATGAGATTTATTATAAATAATTATGTAATAATCCTGTTTTGTCTGTTTATCTTTACGCTCGCAGATTCAGGAATTGACCACGCGGGCCCAAGAAGGAAGCAACATTATATCTACGGAATGGGAAGGAGTCAGTCAAGTTTCTTCCACATACGTGATCGATTGCGTCAGAGTTGAAGATCAAGGTTTAAAATATTGCGTATCCATATCTAAAGACGAAGTGGCGGTATCGGCGGCGACGGTACTCCTAGTTAATAGTAAGTAAAAAAATGATACCGTCAGACTAAGTAAACAAGTGTGTAATACATGGTATTGTCTACTATCATGTCATCTACAGCAACCAGAACCACCGAATGCAACAAGGAACGTCAGCCCACTATCGTCTTACATTCCGCTTGGAGATTTGCCCTTCAACAAACCACGATAATTCTTCCGTGTAGGGCCGCAGGTCAACCAGCGCCCTATCTATTCTGGCTAGATAACACGGGCAAAACTATAAGTCCCACCACGCATACAAGACATACCGTTCTACCTAATGGCGATCTGCAGATAACTGATCTCGAATGGTCCGATATGGGTGAATATACTTGTAAGGTGCAGTCGGGATATACGGAGAAGAGTGTGTCCACATTTCTGTATCCCGTACGTTCCGTACGTATATAATAAATTTCTGCACATGTTTATAACACGTGATACGTCCAACATTATCAAAAACCTATTAATAATAATTAAAAGAACTATTAACGCGATACTCTCTCTCAAATAAATTATATTTAAACAATTTTTTTTCTCTAACTACAAAGTAGATACGCAAACAGCCATTCGTATTTTTGTTCTAGGATTCAGATGAAAGACAGATGATAAATTCCGCATAAAAAAAAGTTAATAAGCTTCTATTTTCAATGCCTTTTACTGCGAGCACGCATAAGTGACCAAAATCTATTACACTTATAAATTGTGTCTATAAAAATAGAAATTAGTAATTAGAAATATTATATATTAGAGAAGTACTTATTCTTTTTTTTTTTTTTTTTTTTTTACTTTTACGATACCAGTGTTACTTGTCCTCAAAAGTTTGATATTTGAACTTGACAGATTCGTTTCTTACGTTGGATCGATGCATAAAATTTTTTTTTAATTTGCATAAAAAATGTAGATGAATTCAAAGTAGTTAATAAATGCGATCTGTATCATCCTTGCTTTTGTGAAAATATTTATTCCTAAGTCCCAGTTTTGTTACGAAAACCTTGAATAGATTTTTAACGGGCAAATTTTTTGTTTATCGATATTCATAACGTATATTTTAAACTATTTGATTTTATTACATATACTATTTAGTTGTATTTACATTTCGTACAAGGTTCATAATTTATAAATTCGTAATGGAAATTACAATAACTAAGTCATTAGTTAGCGCAAATTATATATTACTTACCAATCATAGTTGTCCATTAAGCTAACTCCAAATAAAATTACAATCAATTAATTCGTCAGCAAAATGTAAAATTTTGTTATGACTTTTACTTTTTCACCTTGTTTCCTTCATAGTTTCGCTTATTAATTATAATATGAGATATAAACAAGAAGTGTGCTTATTTATTAAATCGGTTTATTAAGCAAAAACAATATTTCCGATTCAAAGTTGTGTCATTATTTTTTGTTTCAAAATAATAAAAAATGATGATTATTCTAAGTTGTGGAATCACAAGTTGAATATTGCATCTGTTGAAAAGGCCATCAATAAATACTATTGTTCTATTTATAAATGTATTTATGACGATACAGAGTAAAGTCTAAAAATTATATGGGAAAAATAGTATGTGAAACACACGCAATAGTATCACGCATCTCAGTAAAGTTCACGTAACATTCGGAACATCCGTTCAAGATGTTCAAAGATGCACACGGAAGGGATATGAGAGAAAAGGATAGACGAAAGAGCATTAACGTTTACGGGATTTAGAATCACATCTCCGTATTACGGGTACGGCTCTCTAATGTGTAATAGTCACGACAAAGAGTAGTGTGAGTTACTCAATTACACGTACACACACTGGCGTACACACACGTTTTTACTCATTTACCTTTAGTGGCTCGTATTGCCTTGCATATTTCGATCCACGGGTGTCCGTAGGAACTGCAAACGTCACACACGTTATTAGTCGAGCTCGAGGATGGTTTTTGTTGACTAGCTTGATGCCCGGGTGTACTTGGTGACGAGGAGCCCTCTCTTTTTGATTTGCACATGGTCGACGAGAACCGACGAGGGAAATCGATCTTGGAAGGCGGCGGGGAGACCGGCGCGCGGGTCTTGCGCGACGGCAACGTTGCTGAATTGTACGGCAAGTTCGACGAGGGTAAAACGGCGGAGGGCGATCGTTCTGACGATAACGACGATTTTATCGTCGATCGGATTGACCGGCAGGATGGTGAGGACAGGCGCATACACCGCAGAAGGTTGAGTCAATCGTTGACCAATCCTTGGGAGACGCTAATCAACTGCTCCTTCAGGACGCGGAAGGACGGTCGCACTTCCGGACAATGTGCCCAGCATTTACGCATCACCTAAGATTCAAATTCGTAAACTTCTGATTCCATACGCCGGACATATGACGAAAATAAAATGGGAAACGTTGATTTACCTCGTATACTTCCTTGAAACATGCTTTGGGTCGTTCTAATATAATTCCTCGCTGAACTCGTTCGACGACCTCTGTATTCTTTAGGCGACCGTAAGGCATTTTTCCGCACGTGAATACTTCCCACATAAGTACTCCGTATGCCCACACATCAGATTTAGAACTGAAGCGCGTGTAATTCAACACCTCCGGTGGCGCCCATTTAATGGGAAATTTAGTACCGCCACTACTGGTGTATTGATCATCGAGAACATACCTGGAAATATATTGGTTCGATCTGTTAAATTTCGATATACTTTCTTCGCTATCTTTCTTTTTCAGTTAAATTCTTTATCTTTAAAAATTATAAAGATTTCAAAACAAAGTAGTTTACCTAGCTAAACCAAAATCTGCGACTTTTACTACATTTTCTGATCCCACTAAACAGTTCCGTGCTGCAAGATCTCTGTGTATATAATTATGCCTCTCTAAATATGCCATTCCTTTGCAAACCTGTGGAAATCAGAAAATAAAAAACTCAGAAAATCTTGATCTTGTTGTGTTATCATACAATTGCCGACATCTACGTATTCTATTATTTACAAAGTAAGAATTTGCCTTACCTGTATACACATATCTAACAAGAGGCCAACATTTGCACCTAATGAGGCTTCGTGACGGCGGAGGTAGTTGAGGAGAGATCCGTGTCGCATGTATTCCGTGACAATGTATATCGGTCTATCTTTACTGCAAACGCCGTATAGCTGGACTAGGTTTTGATGTTGCAGTTTTCTATAAATAACGAATAATCAAGCTTCTTATAACAAACGTATTTTAATAAGAATTATCAATATTATTTGGAAACTAAATTAATACAGAGTCGGTTTAATTAAATGGATTTCAGCCGAGTTCAGCTGTTCGTCAAAAGTTTTGATACAACACAAAGGAAACTACTATTGAGACTTACGTCATTACTTTAGCTTCTTCTATAAAGTCGTCCTCGGACATAGTTCCCTCTTTCATCATTTTCACAGCGACATCGATGGAGCCGCGCCATTTTCCTCTCCGCACAACTCCAAACTGACCAGATCCAAGCTCCTCCAGCAAATGTAATTCCGCTGGATCGATCTCCCATTTGTCTGTGAAAAAGCCGTTCGCCGTTATGTGGTGGCGTCGTACAGTCGAGATCTTTTCTCATATGTGTACGTTATGTATATAGATTTTATATATTTCATATATATTAAGAAATAGAGAAAGCGCACATATATAAATTTTACAAACCGTGACTAAGGCCGGCGGTTGGTGGTACAGGACGATCGCAGGGGCTGGTCTTCAATCGACTGGCTAGACCGCCGCTGTTGTGTCTATGATAATTAACCAGATCGGGAATGGAGCCGCAGCAATGTTTTTCCGATAAATAAAATTCCCCGCGGGTATTCTGTTTGATGTGATAATGCTTCACGTGGGGATGTGGCCTGCGGCACAACGGAAAATTTTATATTATCGGAAAAAGACGAGGACGAGGCGAAACAATTCAGAGGCGGAAACCAGTCGGTGGAAACCACTCATAATCGTCGCTCGTTGACGATCGGTTTTAACTTACACCTTCGTATAAAGGGAGAGCGTGTAAAGTCCTTTCGTCGACGAGTTGCGAACGACAAAACAGCCCTCCTTATCTTCTTGCTTCAGCAGCGACTCGGCGCGCTGTCTTGACATATCGCCTACGTACCATCTACAACCAAGCAAGTGGAACCATTTTTTTTTTTATCTTTATCTTTATATTACGAGCATTTGGCAATGTAAGTCTCTACGCTGTTCCGAACGGAAAATTATTGGTTGATGACTCGTAAAAGTCGGGAAAAGCAAGAAAATGTTATCGAATTCAATGATTTGTGGAAAAAGATTATATATCGGACTTACTCGTATTTTTGTAGTCCCAACAGTTCCTTCTCTTTAACGTAGTTGCTAGGAATGTATCCAATCGATCTGCAATTAAATATACGCTGTATAACTTTGTGCAAGCCGTTCTCTTCCTCGATGCCACGATGTAAGTATTTTCGCATAAATAAACAATCCGGCTATCATGGATAATTATCGCTGATTATACAAGAGTATAGATTACGCTAAGATTACTGTTTGTGAATTGTGCATCGTACAACTGATTATTTTTTTCACAATTATCGACTGATCGCCGCCACCGCGACGGTGTGAAATAAAAACAAAATAAATAAAACGTTAAATATAAATAAAACGTCGCTAACTAATTGATTTGGCATAAAGGAGTTTTGGAAAGGTTCTAGTCGTAATGTAGCTGTTTCTAATGAAATCACGTACCCATTCTCGTCTTTAACTTTCCACCAGTGTTCCTGGGAATCATCCAAGACCTCGTACTCCGCGCCCTATACTCGTAAAAATATAGAAATAATAAATATTCTACGTTTAAATTTATAATTCATATTAATGTAATTCATATTTTAATATTTATTTTATCTTCACCTTTTCGAGAGACAAATCGCCGCCTTCGATGGCTCGAAAAGGATACAAAGCTACCACAACTTTTGCTCGCAACATTATCTTTTCCTGCGAGACAAAATTAATTTGCACAGATTACATAAAAGAATAAAGCTAAGAATGAAGCAGCTTCCATTTCAACGGAGAATATAGACTTACCTTCGCTTTAGAGGATGGTGTGCCGGGTGTACCACCCGGCATTATCGGAGTCGAGGGCGTTCCTGTAAAAAAAAAAAGAACAACAAATAATGGTAAAAAGCCTTATTATTATTTTGTCAATTTTATATGAATTATTATTTTTTTTTTTTTTTTTTTTTAATAATTTTACAGTACAGAATTCTTATATTTAACCGCTATCGATTTTATACTTTTCATTTTACACTTGTACCAAGATATTTCGCGTTCGTTGTGCTAAAATATTATTATAATAAATAAATATCCCTGTTTATTTATAGCTATATTAACACGATAACGGTTGAACGGTTGATAATTACTGTTTTATTGGGCGCGTTTGTTCGTTTAATTTGGCCGAAAGGGGAGCCGAAAGGAGAGCGACGTTCCTCTTCGCGTGGCAACGCGTGGCAACGAGAATTAAACAGAACATCCCGAACTGACAGGACCACGCACCGCGCACCGGAATGACAGCATACCAAATACCCCGTGGACGCGGAGAACGATACCACGAGAGTCTCCACCCTGTCTAGACAAAATCAATGCGACCTCAAACCTCCTGTATCCCCTCTCTCCGGGGCATCTCTTCGGCGCTCCGTCCAGCGCTCGCACGTGCACGCTCGTCGCGTAAACTGCGTGCGCTGCATCCGACGATATTGTTATATCGCGCGAAATGTACGTATACGTATACCTCTCGAAATCGAGAGAAACTTTGGATGCGCGACCGGCGAAAGATCGGTAGCTCCCTTTAACTCAATCAGCGGCACAAAGTTTCGCGGTCGATCTGATATTTTACGAACGTGCGACTCTTCTCTCGTAGCGTATGCCTGTTATACGCTGTTGCTTTAAACCTCTGAATCAGCCTCTCTCGTTTTTTCGCGTGACATCGTGCATTTTTCAGAACGCTCGTTTCCTCGGTACTTCCCGTTTCCTTCCTTCCTTTTTTTTTCCCTTCTTTTCGGCCGAGTTTCGTTACCCGAGGCAACCCGACCAGGTTCCGCCTGAGGAACCTTTCCTATGCGAAAGATATCTGGGGTATTCTAACAACGCTCGAGTTCGTTCCTTGTCCATTAGGAAAAATTTTTCGTATAAACGAAATACATTTTTTGAGGGTGGACTTAGATTAAAAAAAAAAAAAAAAAAAAGAAAGAAAAAAGGGGGGGAAAAGTCACTACTGATAGTACTTTATACAAGTTAATGCATACGATATTTTAATAAATTTCAGATTGCAATTCTCTCTATATTTTTTTCAAGTATATTTCTCAGATTAGTGCGTCGGGATATAGAGGGAAATGAAATAAAATGCAGAAGATGCTCTATCGAACAAGAAGCACGAGCCAAATGAGAGATTTCTAATTTAAAGCAGTGTTAATTTCTGTGTAGTGGATTCTCCGAACTTTTTCAGGAAACGAGACAGCGAGAATTCGTAAAGAAACTTTCGAGCAGCACCAGCAGAATCTCAAGAAGGATATCTCGGTAATGAAAGTCGGGACACAAGGCCTGCGATGAAAAGAGGCTAACAAAATCCGCCGGAGGCGAAGCGTCTCTCTTTTTGGGATCTTTTTGCATCTCCGAAAATATTCCGACTTCCGTGGAAATTCAATAACTGGGAGAGTCTTAAGAAAGAAGAGACGGCAAGGTAAACGTCGCGTCTGAAATAGCGACCTCGTGATATTGAATCTGATTCTCAGCATTGATTCAAAATATATAACGCAACGTATTGTTAGATGAAGAAATATCTTGATACAATACCACTACCGTTTACACTGTTCCTCCCCCTCTTTTTTTTTATGTCTTCAATAAGATTGTTCTGTATCAAAATACTTTTAGAAGAAAATAGCCGAGAGCTCGCTTAACATTCGTCCTTTCGAGTTACTTTTAATCCAAGTTAATTATTCTCCGATATATATAAAATAAAATTACATTATAATATCAAATGTAGTTACATATATAATCCTGATAAAACCAAAGATTCATTTATCTCTCTCTCTCTCTCTCTCGTCTTTCTTCTTTTATTACCATCAATTTCTTAAAGAGCTTTACAATCAGATACAAACAAACAGCTAAGGGCATCACCATAGCATGGTGATGCTAACATTAAGCGAGAGACCATTGATTTCCTTATTGATTTCAATAGAGATATTGCTATCCAAGTCAAAATATCACAACTTGGCAAGATGCGAGAAGGTGTCATTATTTATTTTGTGAATTTCATTGTCGGACTGATGTTTTTTAGACTGGAGAGCCCTGCCCAAAAAGTCGATTACAATGTGAAATAGTTTGTTTCTGTTCAATTGCAGTTCACTCCAAGTGAAATAATTTTTAGAATAACGGTGAGAAAGCCGATCTCATTTAATCGAAGATAGAATTTTTTTAAATCAATCGAGTCGTGTAAAAGCGTCATACATATGCTTATCCGATCATCATTTAAGTTGTTAGGGATTCTTCAAAAGCTTATTCAAAATCATCCTTGAAAAGCAACGTTCAACAAGCCCTCTAATTGATTGCAGTCTACGTGATAGAAGTATCAATTTGATTAATCCGGCAGAGGAATCCGGCAAAGAAATCCGATGAAGGAATCCGGCGCGGAAAGATTCTATTTCCTTTGAGCTTCATAAGTACAATTCAATTCGGGGTTCTCAAAGGATTCCGTTTCGATCGCCGAGATACCGTTGTAACTCGAGTCACAGCCATGTCAAATTTGATAAATCGGCAAATGAATTCTTTAAGTTCAAATGAGTTCTTCAGTAGTTCGAGTTCACTGAACTCCATTGAGACAAATTCCGTGAACAAAGTGCTCGGACAATGATTTGTTTCCATCCAACTGGAAAAGCTTCAAGTTGGGCAAATCATGAAAGGATTCCGTCTTCTCAGCGTGGATATTTGATTATCTTGCTGCGGATACAAATTCGACATCGAGAAGTTCTCAAAGGCGATTCTCACGGATCTCCAGAAGATCCAAGTGATCGATACATAATAGGATTTCTTTAAAATCAACACGTTACGTAGCTTGCCAAGTAAGCTTTAAGCACTTTCTTATAGTAGCAGACAGTGTAGTCGTCGATGTTACAGCAAGTTCGTTTTTTTTTCTGATAAAACTTTTGCTGAAAACAATAGAACGATTTGCGAGAAGAGCACAAGAAATTATCGCAAGAGAGATCAATCGATCGATTACGTCTGATTATTATGAATACAATTGCGATTCGCTTTTCTTCGTTTTGGAATCCCGTGAAAAACACGCAATTAAAATAGTATCATATGATTTTGATTATAGTTATCATCACGAGAAATTATCACGATTTTATTCTCGGAAGGGGAATCGATTACGAGTATGAAATGTCAAACAGTTGAAGATAAAAGAAACACGCGGCTTTAATGTATGATCGAAAGATAAATTCTTTGTATTATTAAAGACTTGAAACTTGTCGATCTATATCAGATTTTTAAAATATTATTTTTATTTTTCGCTTTTGATTAAAGAAAACTTTAATAATTATTTTCCAATATAAGAAATAAGAATTACATTATAATATCAAATATATGACAGTAACATGTAACAATATGTTAACATATAACAAATAATAGTAACATATAACATATTATAACTATAACAAAAATTAAAGATTCATTTATTCTGCTTCTTTTAATGCCATTCATTTTTTAAAGAATTTTAAATCAGACAGATCTCTAAGTCGTGATGATCGCAGCATTGAGTGGGAGACTGACATCTTTATCAATCTCAGTGGATTTGTTGTCGCGAGAAGACGAGATATTCCACCACGATGAGATCTGAGAAAGCGCCATTATCTATCGTGTGGATCCCATTATTGGATAGATCCATAGCGCGCAGTTTGGAAAGTCCTGTAAAAGTACCGACTACAATGTGAGACAGTTTGTTTCCATAAAAGTATAGATACCGCAGCTGAGACAGTTCCTGAAACGTTCCCGGCTCGGTAACGTTGATCTCGTTCCGATAAAGATAGAGTGTCTCCAAACCAACCAAGTCGCGTAGGAGCGTCTCCTGAAGACGCTTCTTATCCGATTGTCATTTTAAGTAGAGTTTCAAGCTTGTTCAATCCTCGGAAAGTAACGTCCGGCAAGTCCTCCAGCTGATTGTACTCCAAGTACAGGTCAGTCAATTTAGTTAACGTGTGGAGAAGGGATCCGGCTCTACGCGAGAGATAATACTGTTGGAAAGCCACAAGGTCACCGATTCAAGGTTCAGGGCAAAGAATTCTGCTTTTATCACGGAAATGTTGCGATGCAAGTAGAGATGCGTCAAACTTGATAGGCCGGCAAAGCACGAGTTCTTTGGTATCGAGTCGATTTGAAATTCAACGATAGCACACTTCAAGTGTGACAGTTCCGCGAACAGGTATTCGGACAACAGTATTGCATTATTCTGCAAGTAGAGATACGTTAAATTGGATAAACCGCGAAAGGATCCTCTCTTCAGTACGGATATCTGGTTATCATTCAGAGACAATAGCGACACCGTCAAGTTTTTGAAGACATCCTCGCGAATCTCCTGAAGACTTCAAGAAACCAGAAGAAGTTGTGGATGTGGACGGTTGCTTACTTCATGTCCCCATTACTTTCCCAAGTAAGTTTCGACAAGCAGATCCTCATAGTGGCAGATTTTAGTAGTGTCTGATGTATTGGCAAGTCGATTCCCTTTTCCTTTGATGAGATTCTCGCCAAATACAATAGGACGATTTGCAAAAAAAGAGGAAAAGAAAGCGCGACATGGCAAAAGAAACCAATTGATTCTTTTAAGGCTTCCACGGTTACTATTTTCAAAAAAAAAAAATAGCCTTAAAAGGATCCGTGGAAGATTCTTAAAAGAATCAATTGGTCTCTGCTCCTCGCCCTGATGAACTGAACTGCAATGTTCACGAAACGTTGGCATTCAACAATGACACAGATAACACCCGTAAAAACATTTACTTTTTTAGACCAATTGATTATTATGAATGCAATATAAATGATACGAATGCGACTTAAAATCGCTGTTCCCATTTTATATCTCGTGGAAAATATGTAATTAGATAGCGTTATGTGACTTTTGACATTGATTATCGTCATCGTCTAGAAACTATCGCGACTGCATTTTCGAAAGGGGAGTAGGTTATCAAGTAGGAACTGTATCAATTGAAGCTAAGAAAAGTAGCTTTAAATGTATGGTCAATGAAGATCCTTCGTTATTTTATGTTAGACTTACATTTTTTCGAATATTAGATTTTTAAAAAATTATTCTTATTATTCATTTCCAATTCGAGAAAGAGAGAGATTTATTAATTATTCTTCAATATAAGACAAATATTGCATTATAATATTAAATATAGTAACATATATAACATATATAACATATATGTAACATATATAACATATATAGTAACATATATAACATATATATAATCATAATCATAAAAAATCAAAGATTTATTTTTCTTTCAATGCCATTAATTTCTTAAAAAATTTTCGAATTTAGATACAGATAGATCCCTACGGCGTCGTTATGATTGTAACGTTAAGCGGAAGACCATTGATTTTCTTATCAATATCAATAAAGTTGTCGCCGTAGAAATCGAGATTTCATAACTTGACAAGGTCTGAGAAAGCGCTTTTATCCACTAGGATCTGGATTTCATTATCAGACAGTCCGATATCTTCCAGATTGGAGAGCCGTTCAAAAGTGCCAACTGCAATACGAGACAGTTTGTTTCCGTCCAATCGTAATTGTTCAAGTTCAGACAATTCCTGGAACATTCCTAGCTCAAGAACGCTGATCACATTTTCGATTAAGATGGAGTGCTTTCAAACTAACCAAATCGCGTAGCAGCATCCTCCAGATGCTGGTTATCCGATTGTCATTTAAGAAGAGATTCTTCAGCTTGTTCAATTTTCGAAAAGTAGTATCGTTTGGTAAACTCTTCAGCTGATTGTAGTCCAACTGCAGAGTTTCCAATTTGGGTAGAAGGTGAAGAAATCTGGCGCTACGCAGGAAATATTATTATTATCAAGTGATAAATACACCAGTTTAGGATTCGCTTCGTTGATATGTTATATAACCCAAGTAGAGAAACATTAAATTTGACAGACTAGCAAATGAGCAATTTTTTGGCATCGATTCGATTTTAAAGTACAATGACAGTGACCGAAGATAAGGCAATTCCGCGAACAGACAATGATAACATGTACCAATTCAATTAGAGAAGCTTTAAGTTGAGCAAACCGCAGAAGGACTCCCTCTTCAGCACGGATATCCGGTTAGCGTCCAGATTATTGTCATCATCAAGTTTTTGAAGACATTCTCATAAGTCTCTTGAAGATCTTGAAGTTCTTGAAGATTTTGAAGATCTTGAATCTCTTGAAGTTCTTGAGATTTAGACTTTCTTTCAAATCTTGCATATCTTGCAAAGTAATTTCGAAGAGAACCCCATTATAATGGCACATTGTAATTATCAATGTTATGGCAAGTCGATTCATTTTTTTTTTTTAATGAAATTGTCGCGAGAACAATAAAACAATTTGATAGAAGAGGAAATCGCAACATCGCGAGAAAGACCAATCGATCGATATATCTGAGTGATATACGAATGCAACTGCAAATTGATCTTCCCGTTGTGTATTCCAAAGAAAATACATGATTAGATAGTGTTGTGACTTTTGGTATTAACTATAATCATTGCTGAGAAATTATCGCGACTGCATTCTCGAATGGAGAATCGGTTATCGAGCACAAAATGTCACAGTTGAAGATAGGAGAAACATGTGGCTTTAATCCACGGTCAACGAAGATAAATACTTTGATAAATATTTATTAAATGTTGGACTTAAAATTCCTCAATCTATACTAGATTTTTAAAAATATTATTTCTATTTCTCATTTTCTATTAAAAGGAATTTTATTAACTGATCTCCTACATAAAAAATAAAAATTACATTATAATATCAAATGTAGCATAACATACATAATATATATATATATAATCATTGATGAAATCAAACATTCATTTATTTTTCTTTTAATTTTAATTTAAATATTTTTAAACTAAGATATAGACAGATAGATATTTCCTATGATATGATGATTTCCTATAATATGATGTAACATTGAGCGGGAGGTCACTGATTTCCTTATCAATTTCAGTGGAGTTGTTGCCGAAGAAGTAGAGATATTCCAATTTGACGAGATCAGAAAAAGCGTCATCATCCACCGTATGAATTTCATTGTCGGAGAGGCTCATCTCTTTCAGATTAGAGAGCCCTGCAAAAGTGCCGGCTACAATGTGAGACAATTTGTTTTCATCCAATCGTAACAGCTCCAGTTGAACTAAGTCTCGAAACATTCCCGATTCCAGAGTGCTGATCTCATTCTGCATGAGAAAGAGTCTCCCCAGACCAACCAAGTCACATAGTAGTGCTCTGGAGACATTCGTTATCCGATTGGAATTTAACTTGAGTTGCTTTAGCTTATTCAATCCTTGGAAAACACTGGAATTGTAAGTAGGAATTAAAAGTAGGAATTTTGTAATCTTACCGTGTCGGAAAAAGCACCATCTATTGTATGGATCTTATCATCGTACAACTCCAGAAAGCGCAGTTCGGAGAGTCCTACAAAAGTTCCGACTACAATGTGAAACAGATTGTTTCCATCCAAGTATAATTCCTGCAACTGAAACAGTTCCTGAAACGTTCCCGGTTCGAGAGTGCTGATCTCGTTCTAACTAAGATAGAATCTTTCCAAACCAACCAAGTCGCGTAGGAGCGTCCTGGAGACGTTTGTTATCTGATTATTATTTAAGTTGAGAGCTTTCAATCTGGTCAATCTTCGAAAAGCGCGTTTGGCAAGTCTTTCAACTGAATTGTAGTCCAAGTACAGAGATTCCAATTTAGGTAACTCAGCGAAGGAATCCGGGCGTCACGGGAGATTTTTTTTTTTTTTGAGATTCAAACCTACTAATTTGGGAAGGGTGCGAAGGATTCTGTTTCGATTGCCGTGATACTGTTGTAAGCCAAGAAAAGCAATGTTAAATTCAACGTGCCGGCAAATGAGTTCTTTGGATTTGATTTTGTTGAACTCTAGCGGTAGCTCCTGAAGAGATAATAATTCCGCAAACAAATACTCAGACAGTGGTACCATGTTGTTATTAAAGTCGAGAAACTTCAAGTTAGACAAACCTTCAAGTTAGGCGGAAGGATTTTCTTTTCAGCACAGATATCTCGATCTACCATCGGATAGAACCAATTGTGACACGTTCTTGAAGCGTCTTCATGAATTTCTTGAAGAGCCAAATCGCTAATTTTTAATTGAAAATTTCCATCTTCAGAACTACGTTGCGTAACTTTGATAAGTACCGCCTTGTAGTGGCACACATTGTAGTCGTTGATGTTACGGCAAGTCAATTCGTTTTTTTGTGACGAAATTCTTGTCCAGGACAATAAAACGACTTGCGAAAAGAACAGGAGAAATCGCGACATCGCGAGAGAGACCAAACAATATGTCTAACTGAGTAATACGAATGCAACTGCAAATTGATCTTCCTGTGGTGTATTCCATGAAAAATACATGATTAGATAGTACTGTGACTTTTGTTTTTAACTATATAATCATAATCATTGCTGAGACATTATCGTGACTGCATTCTTGGATGAAGAATCGATTATTGAGCACAAAATGTCATAGTTGAAGATAGAAAAAACATATGGCTTTCTATGTCAACAAAAAATCTATGTCAACAAAAATAAATACTTTGATAAATTAAAAACTTATTGAATGTTAGACTTGCAATTTTTCAATCCATACTAGATTTTTAAAAATATTATTTCTATTTCTCATTTTTTATTAAAAAGAATTTTATTAACTCTTCTCCAACGTAAGCAATAAAAATTACATTATAATATCAAATAGTAGCATAACATAATATATATACATAATACATACATAATATATATAATTATTGATAAAATCAAACATAATTCATTTATTTTTCTTTTAATTTTTTAAATATTTTTAAATTAAGATATAAATAGATTCCTATATGACAATTGTAACATTGAACGGAAGGCCATTGATTTCCTTATCAATTTCAGTGAAGTTGTTGCCGTAGAAGTAGAGATATTCCAATTTGACGAGATCAGAAAAAGCGTCATCATCCACCGTATGAATTTCATTGTCGGAGAGCCCGATTCGTTTCAGATTGGAGAGCCCTACAAAAGTGCCGGCTACAATGTGAGACAATTTGTTTTCATCCAATCGTAACATCTCCAGTTGAAATAAGTCCTGGAATGTTCCCGGTTCCAGAGTGCTGATCCTATTCTGGATGAGAAAGAGTCTCTTCAGACCAGCCAAGTCACACAGTAGCGCTCTGGAGATATTCGTCATTCGATTGGAATTTAAGCTGAGGAACTCTAGCTTATTTAATCCTCGGCAAACACTATCCGGCAAACTTCTCAACCGATTAAAAAAAATAGTTTAATTATAATACCCCAAGTGATATCCTTATCGATTTCAGTGGAGTTGTCGCCAAAGTAGGAATTTTGCAATCTTACCGTGTCGGAAAAAGCACCATTATCTATTGTATGAATCTCATTATTGGACAATTGCATAGTGTGCAGTTCGGAGAGTCCTATAAAAGTACCGACTACAATGTGAGACAGTTTGTTTTCATTCAAGTCTAGCTCCTGCAACTGAGACAGTTCCTGAAACGTTCCCGGTTCGAGAGTGCTGATTTCGTTCTGACCAAGATAGAGTCTCTCCAAACCAACCAAGTCGCGTAGCAGCATTCTGGAGACGCTTGTTATCTGATTGTTATTTAAGAAGAGAGTCTTCAATCTGGTCAATCCTCGGAAAGCGCCGTTTGGCAAGTCCTTCAGCTGATTGTAGTCCAAGTGCAGAATTTCCAATTCAGGTAATCCGGCGAAGGAATCGGGCGCCACGCAGGAAATTTTATTTTTATTGAGCCACAAAACCACTAGTTTGGAATGTCCGAAGGATTCTGCTTCGATTGCCGTGATACTGTTGTAAGCCAAGAAGAGCAATGTTAAATTCAACAGGCCGGCAAATGAATTCTCTGGTATGGATTCGATTTTGTTGGAGCCTAGCGATAGCGACTGGAGAGATAATAATTCCGCAAACAAATACTCAGACAATGGTACCATGTTGTTATCCAAGTCGAGAAACTTCAAGTTAGGTAAACCGCGGAAGGATTCCCTTTTCAGCACGGATATCTGGTTACCGTTGGTTAGATCCAATTGTGTCGCCGATAAGTTCTTGAATGCATCTTCACGAATCTCCTGAAGAGCCAAGTTGCCAATTTCCAATTTATTTTCAGAACCACGTTGTGTAACTTTGATAAGTACCTCCTTGTCGTGGCACACATTGTATTCGTTAATGTTACGGCAAGTCAATTCGTTTTCCTCTGACGAGACTCTCGTCCAGAACAACAAAACGACTTGCGAGAAGAACAGAAGAAATCGCGACATCGCGAGAGGGACCAACCGATCTATACGCCCAAGTGAGTGAACAAATGGAACTGCAAATTGTTCGCGTGGAAAGTACACGATTAGTTAATATTGTGACTGTTAGCATTGATTATAGTCATCGACTAAAAATTATCGCGACTGAGGGAACCAGTTATTGTTTACGAAATGTGAAAAAGTTAAAGATAAGAGAAAACACATGGCTTTAATGCATAGCTGACGAAGATAAATCCTTTATATTATTAAATGTTAGACTTGCATTTCCTCGATCTATATTAGATTTTTAAAATATTATTTTTATTTTTTATTTGTGATTAAAGAGAATTTTATTATTTGTTTTTCAATATAAGAAGTAAAAATTATAATCAAATACAATAATATATATATATAAAATTATGATAAAACCAAAGATTCATTTATCTTTCTTTTAATACTATTAATTTCTTAAAAAATTTTAAACCCAAATACGAACAAATTTCTAAAGCATCATGAAGATTTTAATATTAAGTGGGAGGTCTCTATTAACTTTTTAATAGAGTTGTTGCCGCAAGAAGGAGAGTACTACAACTTCATAAGATACGAGAAAGCAAGATCCATTATTCACCATTTGGGTTTCATTATTGCACAGCCCAATACTTTTCAAATTCGAAAATCCTAAGAAAGTGCCGATTACAATGTGAGATAGTTTGTTTCTGTTCAATCGTAATCACTTTAACTGAGTTCTCGAAACATTTCCGGCTCGAAAGAGTTGATATAGTTCTGTCGAAGATTGAGTTCCTTTAGATCAACCAAGTCGTATAAGAACGCGCTGAACATGTTCGTTCCCAGATAGTTCCTGAAACGTTCCTCGGATCGAGAGTGCTGATCTTGTTCCGATTAAGAAAAAGTGCCCTCAATCGATCAAGTCATATAGAAGCATCCTCGAATCCTGACGGCTTAAGCTGAGTGTCTTCAGTTTGTTCAACATGGAAAAAGTCAGTAAGTCTTCTAGCCAATTGAAGTTCAAGCACAGTTTAAGTATATTTCAAGTAAGGTTTTTACTAATTTCAGTGTTGTCAGCAAAGTAAGGATCTTGTAACTTGACAGAGTTCGAAAAAGCACTATCTATCGTGAATCGCATTGTTGGACAGCACCATAACTTGTACTATAAGTTTAGAGAGTCCTGCAATCCGGGTACAATGTGAGGTAGTTTGTTTCCGTTCAATCGTAGATATTCCAGCTGAGACGTAGATATTTCTGAAATATTAGAAATATCAGAAATATTTCTGAAATATATTATATTTTATTGAGCGATAAATATTTCATCATTTTGAAATTCGCAAAGGATTCCAGGATTTCGAAGGCCGATATGTAACTCAAGAAGAGCCATGTCAAATTTCATGTCAGGCCAGCAAATGAGTTTTTTGGTATCTAACTCGATTTTGTTGAAGTTCAATGACAGTGATCGAGGATGAGGCAATTTCGGAAACAAGTGCTCGGATAACTGCATTTGCTAGCTAACTTGAGAAATAAGTTGGGCAAAAATTCCCTCTTCAGCACGCATATCCGGTTGTGATAACATAGATATAACTGCGTCACCGATAAGTTCTTGAAGGCGTCTTCACGAATCTTTTGAAGAATCAACTTGCCAATGTCCATCGATCTTCAGAACCATGTTGCGTAACTTCGACAAGCACTCCCTTGTAGTGACGGACATTGTAATCGTTATGGCAAGTCGATTCGTTTTCTTCTGACGAGACTCTCGCCAAGAGCAAAACGAGGACGACTTGCGAGAATCGACATTGTGGGAGAGATACTAATCGATCGATATGTCCAAGTGAGTGATACGAATGCAACTGCAAATTGCTCTTCCCGTTTTGTATCCTATGGAACATACGCAATTAGATAGTGTCACGTGACTTTGTGTACTGTTGTTACAGTCATTATCGAGAAATTATCGCGAGCTCATTTCCGATAAGGGAATCAGTTATGAAATGTCAAAACAATTAAAGATAAGAGAAGCGTGTGGCTTTAATTGATCGCCGACGTTGATTAAGTACTTCGTATCATTAAATGCCATACTCGCCATTTGCTCGCTTATACTAGATTTTTAAGAAATTATTTCGGATGCGTCGAAACGCCTGACTAGACGCGTTAATTAAAATGAACGCGCGATTGAATATCTGCGCGGTCCTTATAATAGCGAATCCCGCTTCAGCGAGCTGCACGCATTGCCGATGGCAGGTTTGTTCGCCACTGATTATCTGTAACGAGCAGTAGAAAGTAGTATGTAATAGTCCAGTGAGCACAATAGTGAGGCGATCGCGGAAAGTGGAGGGAAACGGTAGGAAAATAACGCGCGAGTTGTATAAGTATGCGAGAGCATCCCGAGATGAATAATTCCTTTTATTATCCTTTTATTATCCCCCCCTCCCCCCCCTTCCCGAGATAATCGCGTTTTTTTTCTTAATCCAGCGTTATATTTACTACTGCACTGCGTAATAATTATTAATAATGACGAACGTAAAATAAGTTCTCTCTCAAGGGCGTTGTTTTCGCAGGCGAAATGACTCTCACGTCACGTCAAAGTTTCGTACATTATAATTTCCGAAACTCGACCTCGGTGGATTATAGAATCCCTCGCGAGACCCGCGAGTCTCAACTGCGAGGAAATTTTCCGTGCGATTTTTTTCCGGACGAGTAATCGCAATTCCGAACAAATTAGGCGCGTACGATCCGGCGAGATGGTTAAGAGAGAGAGAGAGAGAGAGAGAGAGAGAGAGAGAAT